ACATGGGGTTTTCTACTCCTGTAAGGAGTTACAGTATCAGAAACCCAAAGGGCCAGTTCTACCCTGTCCTATAAGGTCACTGTATGGCAGCATCCACTTGATGTTAGTAAGTTATTATTATTTTTTAACACATGCATTATACAGTGTGTTAGTCCGGGTAGACTAAAGAAACAAATTCATGGAGACACTCATATATGTATAAGAAAGAGCTTTATATACAAGAGCAATTGAATATTGAGAAAACATCCCAACCCAGTCCAGATCAAGTCCATAAGTCCGATATTAGCCCATATGTCCAATACCAATCTGTAAGTTCCTCTTCAGACTCACCCAACACATACAATGATGCCAAATGCAGGAAGATCTCAGGTCAGTGGGTGGAATGTCCTGTGGATCCAGTGGTGGTAGAAGCATCTAAGTGCTGGGATGGGTCTCCACATGGCTCCTCCAGCTCCAGGCTCTGGCTGCATCAGTGTCATTCCTTGTGTCTTGCCAGTAGAGAGTCTCTTAGGGAGTGAGCCTGTGTCCTGCCTTCAGTGAGTTATTTATCTCCTTAGTGCTTCCAAATGAGGTCATCAAGCTGCGACCTGATTGACAGGCGAAACTCCACCCCTTCACTCTAATGCTCTCAAATTGACAACAGATAATATAACTACCATACACAGCATTTAAAAAAATGTTTTATTGTCATATAATTCACACATCATACAATTCACTAGTTTAATCATAGCAAGAAGAGTTCTACAATCATCATCACAATCAGTTTTAGAACATTTTCTTCATTCTTATATTCAACGTTATTAGTGCCTCATTTCCCCCCAATCTCCCCTACCATACCCTCAAAGAAACATTAGTCCAGTTACTCTCTCTATAGATATACCTATCCTGGTTTCATGTACAGGAAAACATTAAAACAAATCAACCACCCCCTAACAATAACAAAGCAAAACAAATAAAAACCTCAATTGAAAAGAAAGTAGAAAATATTAAAAACAAGGTCAAATGTACAAGGTGTAAATTTTAACCTAATTGCATCTGCAATAATCTACTTTCCATGCATTCTGCAGGATAGCAAAGCTGGTCACATTCCTGGTCTATGGTGGGCCTAGCATTACACCACTTTTGCAATCATGGGGCACCCTTGTGTTAATTTTCTACATCTTCGGTATATACATGTGCATGTTACTTATGTATGTGTTTTATGTGAAAATTATTGTAGCATTTTATGAGCTAATTAATTCCTCATATCTAGGAAGGGGCATTGGTGGTACAATGGGTTAAGCATTGGGTTATTAAGGGAAAGTGGTTCAAAACCACAAGCTACACCGGCAGAGAAAGAGAAGGCAGCCTGTTTCTGTACAGATTTCCAGCACCGACACTCAGTGGAGCAGTTCTATTCTTTCCTATCGCATCGCCTGGAATTGGGATCCACTGGCAGAGACACACCCCACAGACAGAACAATTACGATTTTAAAGCTGCAGACTACCTCAGCTGAAACAACTTACCTGAGGCCACATGGGTAAGTGCTTGAGTAAGGGACTTAAATCCAGCTTTCTGCACTCCAGAGTGGTTTTCTCACAGTGCTTTGCTACCTAGAAAACATGGCCTAGTGAGAGATATGCAAGTATCTTGTTAGGTGCAGTTGGGTCAGTTCCAGCTCATAGTGACTCAATGACAACAGAATGAAATACTGCCCTGCCTGGTCCTATGCCATCCTTCCAATCACTGGTTACGCTACTTATGGCATGCCTAAGTAGTATTAAGTTGATATGATAAATACCAATAAGAAAAAATGGTCTTCTATCCTTTTCACATTGGTTCTCAGTATGTGTGTGTATGCGTGCATATACACATACGTGAATGTACATAAAATCTACGTTTGAGTATTTCTAGAGTCTGGCTTTAAGATTTACAGCAATAAAGTACACACAGAAAGAGAAGAAAGATAAATGAATATAAAATATGGTTATTTAGAATCTATGTAGACTTCTAACCAATTGGTACAGTTCTTTCATACACAAAGAACAAATCAGAATTTGTGTCTACTTGCATCACAACACTTCTAGGATTAGTTTTCATTCCATGCAGTCCAAACTTTCCATATACTAATATACAACACACATCAGATAATGCTGTACCCTGTGGCCAACTACAAGTACTATTATGTTTCCTGGTGCCCCAAACCTCAATAGGATTTAATGGCAAGCTGGCCTGTCATGTCTTCCCTTGCAAGACTCTGACTTAGAATGTAAAAACTGTAGTGTTTCCACTCTTGCCTGAAAACCCATGTTTTAAAAAAGCACTTTCTTGGTTCCTTATCTGAAGAGCCCCAGTCACTCCTGCACAGGCCAATTTGGAACATGTCAGTGGTGGGAAGCTGCTTCCTGCCTCAGAGCGCCTGGTGCCTGCATCAGAATGAACTGAGAGCGAGAACAATCTGGACGAGGAGCCGCTCTAGACAGTGGTTCTACTCTAGAGAGCGCCATTTACTGTACAACGTGAGGGAGGCGGGGGAGACAATCGAGTTTGTTTTCTTGCCTGTGAGAGGATTAGACAAATTGAACTATCAAATTCCTTTACTGTGTCATGATTATGAACTTAGAATCACAGGACCTTTTTCCAAATCCTGGCTATCAAAACTCAAACTCAAACAAACGCATTGCCATTGAGTTGATACCGACTCATAGCAACATATCTATAGGAAAGAGCAGATCTGCCCTGTGTGTTTCCGAGACTATAAATCTTAGGAGTAAAAAGCCTCATCTTTCTCCTTCTGAGAGGCTGGTACGTTCAAACTGCCAACGTTGTGTCCAACTTGTGATCATGGCTTCATCAGGGGTACTATATTACTTGTGAAATACGATGCCTGGCTTCAGCAGGTTGCATAATCTCCCTACGATTCCAATTTCTTATTTACAAAAGGGGGATAATGACAATATTTATTTGTAGTCCAGTCCCTTTTTAACAAAACTTAAGTGAAATAATGCCAAATATTTGTAATAGTGTTATTAACCTGGGACTCTGTAACTGAGTCCTCTCCTACTGTGTAGTAGCCCACCACAATTAACCCCAATGTAACCCTACGGTACTAATTAGCCCGAGTGTACCATTTTGTATTGACCCAAGTGTGGCCACTTTGTAACTACTGTTCTTTTGTAACTTCTGTAACTGCTGATTTGTTGCATTTATTTTTGAAATTGTTGATGTTGCTGGTAAACTCCCATTTTATCTTTCTAAGTTCATATTTTTCCACATAGCAAGACACCACCTGCCTTGTTTATTCCACAGTATAAAAACTCCCCTCTTAGCAGGAGGAAAGAAAAAAGAAAAAGAGGAAAGAACAAGAATGTAAAAAATTATATATATGTATAAATATTGATTTGTATATATGTAAATATATAAAGATAGGTGTATTTGTATATCATTTAAATACAAGGAAGCAAAAGGACTTTGGGCCTCTACTTAAATCTTACCTCAGTACAAAAAGTTTGTTCTAATAATGTGGCGATGTATGTTACTCATTTTCCTGGCATGATTACTGAAGACAAAATGGGTGCATAAGCAAATGTAGTGAAGAATGCTGATGGTGCTCAAGTATTAAAAGATATAGCATCTGGGGTTAAAAGCTTGAAATTAAACAAGCAGACATCTGGCAGGGAACCAACAAAGCCTACATGGAAGAAGCACACCAGCCTAGTTCAAAAGCAAGCAATCAAATTGATGTGAAGGAGCGTGGACAAAGTGGAGACCCAAAACCTACCTGTAAGATAACAGTCCCTCACAGAAGGGCCACAGGAAAGGGATAAGAAATTCAGGGTGCAGTATAACACTGATGAAGCACATAACTATCCTCTAGTTCTTTAATATTTCCTCCCCTTACTATTATGGTCTTCCTCTTACCTCATTAATCTTGTTAGACCTGGGTATGCTCATTTGTGTAATTAAGATCATTCAATGCATGAAATCTAAGATAGATGCGCCCTTCAGAAATAGTACTGAGAGTTATGATTCCCGGAGGGTACTGGAAAGTGGGTTGGGGAACTGATAGCAATGATATAACCCTACTCAAGGGAAACAAACAGAATTGTAGGTGAACAGATACGTTCAGTGGTGTAAGATATGGAAATATATATATACGGTTGAGGGAGCGAGGGGATTAAAAGGGAGCTGATATCAAAGTGTTAAAGCAGTAAGAAAATGTTTTGAAACTGATGGTGACAGCAATTGTACAACTACGCTTGATCTTATTGAATTGTGCATTGTTAAAATATCTGTAAGAGCTACCAATAAAATGATTTAAAAAAAATAAAAAGTAAAACAAAAAAAAAGCACCCTCTTTAAGCTCAGTGTCAAGGGAAAATTAGTCTCCAGCCATCCCTTGACCGCTGGCTAATCAAGGCTTACTAGCTGCAATTAAAGTTGCGTTTTGTTAGTGGATCTCCTCCAGGCACAACTGAGAGCCTCCTGTCCTCTCCCGCTTGTCACTCTGAGGTGACAAAGCTTCTAAAGCCCTCTATTCACTTTTGACCATCACTTCGGAACCGCGTACGAGAATCTAGGTCCAAAGCGGAGAGGAAGGCCGAACGCCCCAAACAAGACTCTTCCTCTGCTCTACTCCAGAGGAATCAATATTCCGATGAGACGCCGACCCCGTGAAAGCAATGGTTCCGCGCGTCTTCGCCCGGTGCCCTTCCGGGAAATACAGCAACGCGTCCGGTCTCTATTGTCCCTGCAGGCACCCGGAGCGCAGGACGCGTAGGAAGTGCGTTCCCCGGAAGGGGAGGGACTTCCGGCGGGAGGCGGCAAGTTTGAAAAATTCGAACGGCCGGGTTGTTTATTTTTTTTCCCCCTCTGCCAGTCTTGGCCCCCGCCACTTCCGCCTTCCTCGGGAGCTTTGTGAGCTGGAAGGGTCGCAGGAGGACGGGCGAAAGGAGCGCCCCTCTCCCTTCGCAGACGCGGTCGGTGCGCAGGACGCTCCGCCGTGCTGAGCTCCCGTCCCGCGCCGCGCCGGCCGGGAGGCGGGGGAGTCCAGGCCTTGGGAGGTAGGGCCAACTCTAGTTCCGTCTCGTTCCTTTGCAACCCCAGAAACAGCAGAACCAGTGATGCCGTCTGGTGCTGCACGGACTGTGGACGAGGCTTAACTTGAAGCTAGTGTTTATCCGTTTGGGTTGTTAGGGTTTTTTAACGCCTTCATTGGAAGCCGGATGGTTGGTGTCAGTTACCTTCTAGTGGATTCCAACTCGAGGCGACAGACACCCTGTGTGCCCCTAAGCACTGCGCCGCTGGGTTTCCCAAGCAGATCCCGAGGCCCGACCCGGGCGCTTCGGGCTGGGTTCCCTATGAACCTTTCAATGCGTAATATCACCCCCACCTCTACCAGAAGTTGCTTAGTAGCCATGTAATTCTTTTTCTGTGCTGGGACAGGACGGTGCTATTGTTAGGCGTTGTCGAGTGGGTTCCTAGTTAGAGACTCTTTGACACTCGGCCAGTTCCTGGACCATCCTCACAATTGTTGCCGCCCTTGTGGTGGTTGCAGCCACTGTGCCAATCCATCTTTAAGGGCAATCAATTACAATGTAACCATTGCCTTGTGGTTTAATGAAAAAGACTCCAGGCCTTCTGATAAGGCTGTTTCTAATAATCATATTTAAAGATAAGGCAGGAGGTCTGACGACTGCAGGTGGGTGGAGAGCTAAATTTTTAGCAGCTACTTTTTTTTAGAGTTAAGGTCTAGGAAACCCCCAGGGGCAGATCTAACCTGTCCTGTTGGGTCCCTGTGAGTCCTATTCAACTCGATGGCAATGGGTTTGTTTTGGATTTGGGTTGACCTTGGCGATTAAGCAATGGATAGCTAACAGTAACTTGCCCTCTCTGCTGGAGAAGGATGAGGAACCTGTTCCCATCGAGCAGGAGAGGAGAGCCTTCTTTTTCTACCAAGGACTATTTGGATATTTATAACATTCAGGGCCTTACAAAACCATCAAATTAAAAACTCACCTGCTGTTTTGGTCGAACATTGTATTAACATTGTAATGCCTGGAACTGCTTCTCTTTGGTGAGACCTGTGATGTTGGCTGGTATTGATGACTTCATGGGCCTAATTTGACCTGTGGCCAGATGGTTTGTACCCACCCCCTGATGTAAATAAAGATTTATACCTGGGAAAACCCTACAACGGATCATTATGAGTTAAAAACCTACTAATGACAGTAGATTTTGTTGTTTGTTTTTAATGTTAATTCGGTAACCTGTAAGTCCTTAGTTACCATGAAAACTTATATTTAGTAAGGAAAAGATATTTGAAACTGCCTGAAAACTCAAATCTTGGGAGTGCTTCTATTTAATGTTTCCTTGATGCATGGGAGACTGGTGGTTAACAATTTTTTAATTGTTTTTAAATTATGAAACAATTGTTGTTTTGCGCTAACTCAAAGTTTCATTTTCAACAATTCAGCTATTTGTTTTGCTTTGTTTTGTCCGATTTTAATCAGAATGCTCTCTCAAAGTGCATATAGAAATACAGCTCAGAGTAAACTTTGTTTCTGTTTCTTTGAATTTCAATCCCTCCCCCAACCTACCCACACAATACTTAACCCAAAAAGAAAAGAGTACCTATTTACTCGCGTATAAGCCAGCCCGAATGTCAGCCGAGGCATCTGATTTTACCACAAAACTGCATTAAAAATATGCTGAAAAACTCGGTTTATACACAAGTACATACGGTATTTGCATGACACTAAGCATGATACTTTTTCTTGAATGAGTTCAAGGAACTGTACTTAATTCTTTGAAGCTGGGATTCATCTGCTAGTTGGCATGGTGCTTTTCCCTACTTACCAAACCTGCCCTCCTCAGCACTTGTGGTATTGCAGATGAAATAAGGACAGTGGCACTTAGCCCTTAATTTCTGCCCCTATGATGAAGGTGATTTTATACATACTATTTATATATACTTTACCCTGTCATTGATCTCACAGTATTGGTTAGAAGTCATCTCGTTATTCCTTTAAATTACCCCAGCCCCCAGTCCCTCTAGCTCCACCTTTCCTCATCCAAGCACACATGGATGGACTAATTGACACTAATTGTTCAATGAAAGAAAGATAGGAATTGTGAAGGATATAGAGCAGACTAACATGCACGCAAAAGGTTATGGGATTACTAAACTGTGAAAGACTTTAGGAAAAGCAGAAAAAACTGAACTTGGTGTAAGTGGGGTAAGTGAAATATTTTTGTATAGATGTTACATGGTCCAGTTAGTTTATAAGGATTAATCTAATAGCACTGTGTAAGACATTAGTGAGAAATATGTGCTATTAATAGTGTAGATGTTTATATTTTTCTTTATCATAATCTCTAATCCAGATGCAGCCTGTTTTGAAAAGGTCTTTTTTTTTTTAGTCTTTCTTTATTCCAGTCATTTTTTTCCAGTCATTTTTAAACCTACGATGGTTGTATATTTATGTTGAATGAGTAGAAAAACCAAACTCGCTGCTGTCATGTCCATGGTGACCCTATGGAACCGGGTAGCGAGTGCCCCAGGCTGTGCCTCTGCTGGAGTAGAAACTTCAGTCTCCTGCAGGGCGGCTGGTGGTTGCACACCGTGGACTTTGAGCTTAGCAGCTCCAGCTCGAAACCCCTATACTTCAAAGGGCACCGTACTGCAGAATAGGGTACCTTAATATGTGATCAGGATCTAGATACACAGAGTTTCTAGAAGAAAGCTCGACTACATGAAATTCGGTAGTATGAAATACAAAGCCTAGCTTAAGATTCCTATAATCAATTACTTAGAAGATGGAGAAGGCTTGGCTTGATATAAATGGGTCATGTTGAACAAGATCTGAGTAACTGATAATAGAGGTTTTTCCTAAGGGCTACAGTTGTAGTCTGTTAGGTCAGGCAGCCATTGCCTATTTACTGCATAGACTGTGTATAAGCCAAGTTTTTCAGCACACTTTTTATGCAGTTTTCATGGTAAAATTAAGTGCCTCGGCTGGTATTCGGGTCGGCTTACACTCGGGTGTATACAGACTGTTCATACCCTGCGTTATTTCCGTGACTGCTCCACTAGAGCAGAACCATTTCCATGCCCTGGGACGTCAGGCAATGCAGGCGTCGTGGGGAATGTCGTGGTCCGTTGGGGCAGCCCATTTCTCAGAGCCATGGGAAGAGAGAAGTACCTACAACAATGTCACATAAAGAGTGCTGAATAGAAATTATTCCTAGCCTTAGAAGAATAGGTTTCGTTATGATAGCTGAGGGATATGAAAGCTTTCTTCATGTTTTTAAAGATTTTAAACCACATAGTAACATGCTATGTGGTTGCAGTGACTAGAAGTAGGACCAGCAGATACAAGTGTCAGTGAAACAGACTTCTTCCTATCTAGTGTGAAAGGGCTCTTAGGACTGTGCTGAAATGGATTATTTCCTTGAAAATCCGCTTTCTTTGCCATTTGCAAGTGTTCAAGCAGAACTGTGAAGCTATTTATCTGGCATTTTTTACAATAAATACCTACATTTGTTAGAGATCAGTTAGGTAACTGAAACTCCTTGTTAGGCCTATTCTAAGCAATATTAAACCTAAAATACTAGATTTTTAGAATTGTGAGTTATTCCTGATTGTTTCCAGAACTGAATAGATTCACACTGAATCTCTGGGATCATTCTTTTTCCCTGGAGAGTGGGGGATGTGTAGGTAATAGAACAGGTGTTTGCTGAGTTGGCGGCTTTACTACTGGTTCTCCTCTTTCCCCCCTACTGTTCTACCAGGCACAGGGAGAGGTAGAAGGAACAGGAACAGCTATTAGTTTATGAGAGCTGCCAGAACTTTGTAAACCTAATCACAATACATTATAAGTATTGTATTAGTTAAATAAAAGGAAAGCTTTGGACCAGGTGTCTCTGTTTTGCGAGGGCGGCTATGTGTGCTATAGGGTGTTTAGCAGGATCTACCAGGCAGGTCGTGGCAATGAGAAAAGCCCAGATCCCCCTGGATGAGGGCTTCTGTGTTAGTGGGACACACGAGGATAACTCATAATCAGAAGATCTTCTTTTGTTCTTTCTAAAGTTTTGACGTCTGGTAATTGGAATGCCTGCCAATCACAGCATTGGATTCTCATTATTTATCTAGCCACTTGCATCTTAACCCTTATTAGCCATCTTACTGTGTTGACTGGGATGGTAAACCAGAGTCCAACTTTATTCTGTCCTCTATGGCTGTTGTTTATATGCTGCTTCTGCTTGTGGTGCTGCCTATACTCCTTCCTTTAAGGATTCATCCGCAGGATTTTAAGTCCTCTGCTTCTTAACGTTAGAAACCGAGCAAAATAAAATACTACAGAACTTCTTAGCTCTCTATTCAGCCAAAGAAAGCGGCATCAGGAAAATTTAGAGGAAAAAGTACTTTGAAATAAATATTTTCTTAAGCAATATAAATATACAAGGGCACGTCAAAAAGTTTGTGGAAAAGTGGAATTAATGGACATTTTCTATGAGCTTCTTGAAGTCCCCTCATATTTGTGCTTATCTTACTAGGTGTTTGATAATAACTGAAAGTATTGCGAACAGGTCAATCTGGCTTGCTACTTTTGTTCTCATGTATCACCTTCCAGAATTGCTGATTATGCCATAGTTGTAACTGTGTGGTTCTCTTGTTTTTGTTTTTCAGATACATAGGAGACTCCCAAGATGGAAGCTTTATCTTTCCCCAGGTACAATGTAGCTGAGATTTTGGTTCACATTCGGAACAAGATTTTAACAGGAGCTGATGGTAAAAACCTCACCAAGAATGATCTTTATCCGAATCCAAAGGTAACATGTAGTTGTCTTTGCACGTGGCACGATGCCATTTGAGAAAAAAGGGAGCTGTGAAATCTGTCATGTGACCACTACCATGCACCCTACTCTTTGGTATACGCAAAGTGTTTCAACCCAGATCCAATACCGAATGTAATTTAAAAATAATATTAAGCTTATATGGGGGCTACGTCTGCATTCCCATTAGGAATTCAATTCTTTAATACAGATTTTTTTCCTTCAAACACAGCCTCTAAACCACAGACTTATTAAAGTTTATTAAATTTATTATTATTATTCTTGCAGTGGTGGTCTGGGGGTATCATTTATTGGCAGGGCTCAAAGGAACTTACTCCAAGTGATTTCCAAACACAAACAATGCTTAGAAACAAATCTCTTTGGAAGCTTACAGATTAATTTTCTTGCCATATGCCCTGGGGGGAATTGACTTGTTTTGACAGATACTGGGTTTTTTTATGTTATTAAATGTAAAAATGAACTATATATGTCATAGGAAGTCTCAAAGCCTCCTGTGAGTTTCCTGTGTTGGTCCTGAAGTTACAACAGGAAAGCACCTGGTGTCGTGATGTAGATTCACATTTCTGAGCACAGCACTGCTTTAATTATTCACAATGGCATGAATAATTCGAAGAAATGGTAGAGCTTTAAAGTGAATACATTTAAGTTTATGGGGGAAAACTTACACAAATTTTCCAGGTTTTTCTCACTTTATTGCTTACGTAATAAGTTTCATCTAACATACTTTGGACATTATCAGGAGAGGCCAACCCATAGAAAACGACATCCGCTTAGTATAGTAGAAGGTCCGCAAAAACAAGGAAACTTTCCATGAGGTGGTCTGACACCGTGGCTGCAGCAATGGGCACAAACATAAGAACGAGTGGCATCATCGCATAGGACCAGGCAGCGTTCCATTCTTTCTTACATAGGGTCGCTGGGGTCAGAGCCCACCTCTCTCCACAGCGCCTAACGACACAAGACTTGTGGATGGAGCAGGACAGGTTCATCATCTAGCATTTGAAGACCACTGATTTGAAAGATTAAACTTCACCTCCCAGGCAACCTACTAAACGTCTGCTCCCTGGATCAAAGTGTGCACTCAAACTTGAATCCATCAAAGTTTCCGATTGTTTTTCCCTCTGTTTTTAATGCCTCCTTTTCACTGTCGTCGAGCTCCTGCTGACTCCTCACCTGAGTAGAAAGCCCTTTCTTTTCCCCGCGGAGCTGCTGGTGGTTTCAAACTGCTGACCATGTGGATTGCAGGCCAATGAATAAACACTATACCGCCAGGGCTTCTTTAGACATTATCAAATCTTAAATATGTTTACAATTTTGTTATTTATAGTCATAAGTAATTTATTTTGCCATAAATTTTTCTTAAAGATATTAGGTATGTGTAGTGCCAAATAGGAAAATATTGTCCAACATATATCTTCCAATCTTTCTGTCTCTCTTTTTAGGCAACAAAGCATTGTTATTTTTTTATAAGCTTTCAAAGGCAAGTGATACTTTTATAAGCAAATACATATATTTCTCCTGCCCCATTTATATAAATGGTAATTTGTCATTTTGTTCCTTGTCATCATTTCTGCCACATTCGCCACATTTTGTTCTGAAAGACCAACACAGGCGCTGGGTCTCTTAGGTTGGGTTTGGATATGCTTGCTCTCCTGCTGTTCAACCACTGACCCCATCAACCACTTATTACATAAGAGCAAACTGCGATGTAGCATGAAATGTTTTGCGACTTGGAAAAATTAAGCACTGACTTCCTGTAAGAAATGATGTGGGGGCCTTATTTGACCCACCCTGGCTATACGAGTAAGGAGACTCCAATCTCCATACTAGCCAAGGCCAGTTGCCACAAGGCAGAAGTCAGACGTGCCTCCAGCCTGTTTCTTTTTTTATCCCAGGGTACTTTTCTGCTGGGTTTGGCAATTCATTGCAATAGCTATACAGAATTCACAATACGTACTCACAATTAGTGGGGGTTACTAGGGAAGTTTTATCAGGTTACCCCAAGTTAGGGTCATAAAACATTAAAGATATAGTCTTTGGAGCACATCTATGCCTCTACTCAGCCAGCAACCAGGTCTCACTGGTCCTCAGCCTCTTAGCCACATGCTTGTGCCTGCATGGGCCAGGACACCAGCCCGCTGCTCTGCCTCCCAGTCTCATGAGCTCTGGTCTCAGCCCTGCAGCTCCTTGCTCTGGTGTCTCTGATTTCCATGCAGTAGCATGGCCTCTGCTTCCTCCGTCGCTCCAGACACAGAGGGATCTCATACTTGCTTCCTTGTGGGATCTTCCTTGGTGGTCCCAGGAATTCTCTCCACTCCTGCTTCTGAGGTGGCTCTCACACACAGTAAAATGGGAACTAAATCTCTTTTTTCACATATCCTATTTGCAAAATCCCAACCAGTCATTTAGTGGGCAGTACCAGAGACAAGAGGAGAGGAGCCATATTAAGAAATTTCACTTCACCATACTTATTCACCCTTTTTTTTCCTTTTCATCCATTGACCATCCTGCTGGATCATAACAATAGAGATGTCACTTTCGAGACATGTAGCAGTGTACTGAATTCTGTTTTTCTCTTGCAGCCTGAAGTCTTACACATGATCTACATGAGAGCCTTACAAATAGTATATGGAATTCGACTGGAGCATTTCTACATGGTGGGTTTATGATGAGAGGAAATTTTATTCTGTTATTACATTTTTCCTGTTTAGCATGCTGTGTACCTGGTTTTCAGAATAGGGAATCCTTGACTTTGTTTTTAATAAATGTAAGACTCGTGTACTGTTAATGTGACTTTGAAAGTCATGTCTGTGTGCATATATTTACAGGTTTAGTATTAAGGTAGCAGATGGACATTGGGCCTCTACTCAAGTACTCCCTCAATGCAAGAACACTTTGTTCTATTAAACGGGCATTCCATGATGCTCACCTTCCTGACATGATCGCTGAAGACAAGCGAGTGCATAAGCAAATGTGGTGAAGAAAGCTGATGGTGCCCAGCTATCAAAAGATATAGCATCTGGGGTCTTAAAGGCTTGAGGAAGCCGCCATCTAGCTTAGAAGCAACAAAGCCCTCATGGAAGAAGCACACGAGCCTGTGTGATCACAAGGTGTCAATAGGATCAGGTGTCAGGCATCAAAGAACAAAAAATTATATTGTGAATAGTGGGGGTGCAGAGTGCGGACCCAAAGCCCATCTTTGGCAACTGGACATCCCTTTATAGAAGGGTCCTGGGGAAGTGACGAGCCAGTCAGGGTGCAGTATAGCACCAATGAAACATAAAATTTTCCTCTAGTTCTTTAATGCTTCTTCCCCCTCCCCCAACTGTCATGATTCCCAATTCTACCTTACAAATCCAGCTAGACCAGAGCATGTATAATGAGAGTAGTGATACCAAGAGGGTAAAGGGAAGGTGGGGGAGAATGGGGGAACCAATCACAATGATCTACAAATAACCCCCTCCCTGGGGACGGTCAACAGAAAAGTGGATGAAGGGAGACATTGGACAGTGTAAGACATGCCAAAATAATAATAATTTATAAATTATCAAGGGGGAGGGAGGGGAAAAATTGAGCTGATACCAAGGGCTCAAGTAGAAAGAAAAAGTTTTTAGAATGATGAGGGAAACAAATATACAAATGTGCTTGACAAGATGGATTTGTGGATTGGGGTATGAGTTGTATGAGCTCCCAATAAAATGATTAAAAGTAAAAGAAACTATAAAAATAAATAAAAAGATCAAGTTTATACAAGTGGTTATTGGATTTAATGGTGGTTTCTCTGTATTGATATCTTTCATTTATACTTAAGATGAGAGCAATTGTAAAAGACAGAATGACTTAGAAATTATTGATGCTGTACAATCATTCATAGGTTTGTTTTCATAGACTTAATCAAAGCAAAGTGCTTTACAGCTGTTGTTCTACTCTCAGTAAGGACTCAAACATTACTGTAGATGATATGTAATATGATTGGATACAGTTGAAATGAGGCCACTAAACTTTTAGCAAATTCAGTGTTTCCAATCAAGAAGATAATTTTTCTTAATCTTTTTGTTGTTAAATCTTCAATGAATTATCTGAAGAAGCATTAATAATGTAACAAGTGCCTTTGTATTCTAACCATTAGGACTACATTTTATTTTAAATCAAAGTCTTTGATCTTTGAAAAACGTACTGGCTTTGTTTGTGAAATAGAGATCGCACTCTCTCATATGGTTGTTGTAAAAGAGAATATATGTAAAATGTTTTGCATATTACCTGGTATTTAATTAATTCTGTGCCCATGTGCCATCATCGTGGTGAAGGACTGGGCTGCTGAGGGAGTGTCAGCAATTGGAACGCACCAGCAGCTGCCCGGGAGAGATGGGCAGTGCGCCTCCAGGAAGAGGACAGGCTTGGGGAGGAAGTGGAGGAGTGCTGCTACGTCGTGGAGATTGCACCCCAAGTCACAAAGGAAAATGTGCATAGAGTGTCGGGTGGGAAACCGATTAGCTCTGTAAACTTTCACCCAAATCACAGTCTTAAAAAACAGACTTCGCTCTTGGAAACCTCATGGCGCGATTTTACTGTGCTGTCTATAGTTAATAACCGAGCCAGACTCACTGCTATCGAGTCAGTGCTGACTCCTAGCGACCCCTGTGGGTTCCGAGACTATAACTGTATATAGGAGTACAAAGCCCACTCTTTTTTCCCTCAGAGCTATGGGTGGTTTCGAACTGCCAACCATGGGCATCACAGCCCATTGTGTAACCACTCTACTCCCACGGCTCCTACACAGGGTCAGTAGGTGTCAGAATGACTTAATAGGAATGTTTTTGGTGAATTAACATTACTAATATTAAGAATAGCCCGAATTTTACTCAGGAATCTTTATTGCTTGTTTAATTTAATGATAATAAGTTAATATATTTTGACCTTAAGGTATGATTAAGATTTCTTGCAGCTTATTTTTCTCATTTTGTCTAACTTAATTAGAGTTTGTGGTTTTTTGCACTTAGATGCCAGTGAATTCCGAAGTCATGTATCCACATATAATGGAGGGCTTCTTACCAGTCAGCAATCTATTTATCCATCTGTGAGTAAAAGCCTTTTCTTTACTTATTCTCCACTAACATTTACCTTGATTTAAGCTTTCTTTGATGTCGCTATGCAACACAAACAAGTTTGTAACCTGTGATAAACTGGGAGAGCATATCTGATCTCTTGGCTTCCCTGTTGCTGAGGCAGCGTTCAGCATCCCTCCACACTCCGTCCGGTATTTACTGACTCTGACCCCAACAGTTCCTCCCATGGCATTCTACTTTTCTACTGGTTTCAGTAATTCATTGTAATAGCCACCTACAACTCCTACCTCCTACTCACGGACAATACTCACAATTGTGGGGGCTTATTAAGAAATAAGAAAGTCAGGTTCCATAAACAGTAAGCATACAGTCATTGCTCTACTGCAACACTTCTCTTCAGCCAGCAACCAAGTTTTTCTCTGGTCCACAGCCTCTCAGCCATGCGACGCCATGGGTTCTGCCTCCATCTACCAGGAAGTCTGCCTGTTGCTCTGTCTCACAGTCCCTTAGTCTCAGTGCTGCTCCTCTTGCTCTGCCCTGTAGTCTCCGTGCCACAGTCTCTGGTGCCTCTGGTCTATGCCTTGGCCACTTCAGACAGAGAACTGGAACGTGCTCTTCCCTTGAACTTGGGCTCTCTTTCTCCAAGATGGCTCTGATACCTAGAGTAATGGCCTTGATGGCAGTTTGGTTTTCTGTCTTAGCAGACCATACCTCCAAGGAAACAAAGGATAATGACTTAAGTTACACCTTCTGGTAGAATCTAAAGATACATCCCACCCTAATCCTGAACAGAGAGGGCCCTCCAAAATGGAAGTATAGCCACAGGAATGGAGTCCAGAATTATAATACATCACACAAGGAATTATGGCTAGAAGAGCCATATTAATTGATTCATCTCATAGCCTGACGGCTAAATTAAAAGTTGAGGTTCAAATCCACCAACAGTTACATGGACAGGCCTAATGATCTCCTTCATTAAGGTAACAACTAAGATAACTATAGCGCAGTTTCTCGTTTGTTTTTTTTAAATTCTGCAACATAAGAGGTTATCATGAGTTCTACTCAACTCAATAACAATAACAGGCTTTCTTAGTGATACGATTTGTGCATGCGTGGCATTTCTACCACATCCCTCTTTCACTTCATCTCATACATGAAGGGACTTCAAACAGTTTAAGGAAAAGTTTCATTGTCTTAATGCCATTTTTTCATGAGCTTGTAAACCTCCATGTACATTTAAAAATTGTAAGCTTCTGTTGAAACAGGTTAATTGCTTTAACCTGTGATAATTACGTGAGATGTTTTTAAGTGAAGGGCTAAGAAATTTTCATCTAAAGTTGTTTCCTACTTTTTTGGAAAGTGTTGTGTTCTTGAAAAGTATTAGCGCCTCCAGGAGTGTGTGCTTGTGTTAGGGTTCTCTAGAAAAACAAAACCAGGACACTTATGATTATATAAGAGGATAGGTTTGTACAGTGAGAAGGAATATAACTGCTAATTAGTCCACACAGCAGTAGCGGGTTCATTTCTACTTACTTCCTGGAACAGTTAATATACTGGAAGTCCTTCAAATCCAGGTGGTACGGGTTGCCTGTCCCAAAGTCAAGGAAGTAGATAGCAGAATCCTCCCTTGGGCAAGGCAAGCAGAAAACAGCAGGGTGGGTCACCAACAGTCAGTAGCTCGAGATGGGATATCAACTCAAGGCAACAGGATCCACCAGCCTCAAGCTCAAGTGATGTACGCACTAACAGTGTGGTGAAGCAGTTTTCAAAGGAACCTCGAGCTCTAGAGACACAATCCATGGATTGGCCTGGCCTACGTAGTGTAGCTCACAGTTTGAGGCAGAGAACTAGCTACAGCAGCAGCACACTCTAGCACACACTGATCACCAGAGAGCAAGAGAGAGGGCAGTGGGCCTTACAGAGCCATTTATCTCTTTGCTCTCCAATCAAACTGACCTGATTAGTTCCACATGTTCCTATTGGCCAGTTTGGCACAATAAAGCTAATTATCACAGTGCTGTTTATTGGAATCTATAACTCTACTTTGGCATTACATGGGTATTTGTATCAGAAAATATAAAAGAACAAGCTTATTGGTTGAACAGAGGCTGATGGAACTCCTGAGACTGGCTTAGTCCCTTTCAGGTCTGGAAATGTACTTACTTCTACGGCTCAATTTTCAGTCTAACAATGGACATATGTATAAGGGAAATAATAACACTAGTGAGGTACACACCCCTTAGGATAATCAACCATTTGAAATGTAAAAGGCATTACTGTGGGACAAATTTCAGAAAGGCTAAGAAAGGAGGAGGAATAGGAACAGGCAACCTGGGAGGAAGTGGGCTAGGTGATGGTGCATTGTGACGATGGCAGTGAATGACGAAAAAAAATGGATGAGATTTGAATGGGAAATTCATCTGCTCATTAGCCCTCACCTAATCCACTATAAAAAGTTGGGTTTTTTAAAAAGTAGATTTCTGTGATATAGAATTATGTATTATTGTAGACCTCTAACTTGAACCTTTGGCTTTAGAAAATATAAGGTGCTTAAAAAATTTATGGGAAAATGGTATTAAAAGATAATGAAAATTTGTCACTATTTTGAAGCCACCTTGTATCTACAGAAAGCTTTTTAAAGAATAAAATGTTTATTTCCTTGGACTTGGTATTTAACTTACAATTTCAATCTTTTTTCTTCAATCCATCTTTAAGGGACTCATTTCTGCCCATCTGTCGGGTGAATGACTTTGAGATTGCTGATGTTCTATATCCAAGTAAGTTAGAATTTACAACCATTCTTATTTTCTGACTTCAATCTAATATTTCTCTTTCCATTGATACATACTTAAAATATACTCTAAAATGTAAAGGAAACTAAATTATAGTTATTCATAGTAATAGCACTTATTTTCTCTAACAATGAGAAACCTTTTGAAATGATAATTATCAAAATATTGTTTAATATGTTAACAGCTTTACATTTTCATTTTTAACATTAAAATGGAGCATTATTATATAAATTGAACATTGAGCTTGTGTTTTTGTGGCTTTGGGCTGTTTGGAGTTGTTCATATGGTATAGCAGAGATGGCTACCCAAGTTTGACAATTTCCTGCTATTGAGAATAGCAAGCTATGACAGTGGCTGGCATTTAAGATGTTCAGTAAGTGGCAGTGAGGCAAGGATTCACTCCTGGGAGAAAGATGCGTCTTCCTACTCCCAAAAAGAGTTTCAGCCGTGGAAACCCACGGGAGCAATTCTACCCTGTCCTGTAGGGTCACTGGGAATCAGAAACTACTCAATGGTACTGAGTTTGGAAGTACAGCATTGATATTTTGTGGTATTTAACAATTTTTTTTCTCATTTAATTTGCTTTTAGGTAGTTTCTCACAGTTTTAAGAATGAATTTTTACATATCCTACTCTTGGAAAGTTTTTCATTTGTAGATTTACAGAAAAGCCATTTTTCAAAAATCTTTTAACTGAAATCAAGCAAAAATTTTTTAATTGAAATAATATTTTGAATATTTGAGAATACAAATTGATGTAAAATTCAAGTTGTGATGTTTGCTACATGGATTAGACCACTTTTGTTAGCTGTAATAATTGTTTTTAACCGTGAACACAATATCTTTTAGTATTTTGGTGGGGACAGTCATGTAATGGTAGCTGAATAGAAAGCTGCAGCTACATTGACACGTCCCTTAATTAACTTGATTATTTGATACGTAGAGTTGGTTAGTGTTACTGGGGGACAAAGTCAAGGCTTTCACCTCCCATAAAGAGCTGCAGTATCAGACACGAAGAGGCAGGTCTCACTGTCCTGTGGGCACTAGACTCCACAGCAGTGACTTTGGTTTTTGTGGTTTCTGTTACTAAAAGTTTGATGTGCTTTCGGTTTTTAAAAGTTTTATTGATGTATAATTTACACATAATAAAATTTTAAATGCATAATTGAAAGTTCCCGTCAGTTCCCTTGCCATCATTCTTCTTCAGCCACCTCCTGGTCCCTAGCAACCACTGACTTGCTTTCTAGCACTGCAATTTTGACTCTCAGCCCTGCGAATTACCTGCTACTTAGAATAGCAACCTATGACAGTGACTGTAGGTTGAATTTTGTATAGGTTGCTATGAGTTGGAATTAACTCACTCACACAAAACAGATTTTCATATAAATGTAATCACAAATCTGTAGTCATTTGTGTATGAATTCTTTAATGCAGCCATAATACTTTTGAAATTCGTGCTTGCTTTTGCATTTATCAGTAGTCTGTTTCATTTTATTTTGGAGTAGTATCCCATTTCAGGAGCCCTGGTGATGCAATGCATTAAATATTGTACTGCTAATCTAAAGACCAGCAATTTGCTCCTTAGGAGAAAGATGTGGCACTTTGCTTTCATGAAGATTTTTTTTTTAAATACTTTTATTATATCTCTTATCACAATCCATACATTCATCCAATGTGTTAAGCACATTTGCACATATGCAGCCATCATTTTCAAAGCATTCTCTTCCCACTTGATCCCTTGATATCAGCTTGCCATTTTTACCCCTCCCTCCCCCGCCCACCCTACCTAATCTGATTTGTAAGGTAGAATTGAGGTCATGATAGTGGGGGGAAGGAGGCACCAAAGAACTAGAGGAAGGTTGTGAGTTCCATCGGTGCTATATTGCACCCTAACTGGCTCCTTTCTTCCCTGTGATCCCTCTGTAGGGGGATGTCCAGTTGTCTACAGATGGGCATTGGGTCTCCACTCCACGTGCCCTCCCCCACCCCCCTTTCACTTTGGATGTGATTTTGTTCTGGATCTTAGATGCCTGACACCTGATCCCATCAACACCTCGTGATCACACAGGCTGGTGTGCTTCTTCCATGTGGGCTTTGTTGCTTTTCAGCTAGATGGCTGCTTGTTTATCTTCAAGCCTTTAAGATCCCAGATGCTATATCTTTTGATAGCCAGGCATCATCAGCTTTCTTCACCACATTTACTTATGCGCCCATTTTGTCTTCAGCGATCGTGTTGGAAAGGTGGACATCACAGAATACCAGGTTATTAGAACAAACTTGTGTTGAGGGAGTACTTGAGTCAAGGCCCAATGTCCATCTGCAACCTTAATTCTTAACATATAGATATGAGTACATAGATCTATTCCTCCATCATCATATATAAATATACTTACATATGTATACGCCTGTATTTAGGCCTCTATAAATGCCCTTTGCCTCCTAGTTCTTTCCTCTGTTGCCTTTTATTTTCCTCTTGTTCCACCATCATGTTTGGCCTTCATTTGGGTTTAGTAATTCCTCGCTGTTATAGTGCCCTTGATTAAGCCCCACTAGATATACTATGCCCTTCTCTCTGTTGATTTTAGTTCACTAACTCCTTGTCCCTGGGTTGGTTCCCTACCTCCTTTCTCCCACATCCCCTTCTCCCATATCCTGCTGGAACCATTAGTCCCGTTCTTTTCATCTCTGATTTATCCCACCTATGTTGTCTAGATAGACTTACAAATACATTAATCTCAAAAACCTAGCAAAACTAAAACAACAAAGGAAGTCAAGACCAACAAAACAATAACAACAACAACAACAAAAAGAAAGCCACTGACAAACGTGGAAAGGACTATAGATAGTTTAAGGTCTCTGTTGGTCTTTATGAGTGTTTTCTGGTGGAGTCTGCTGGGGTACCACACACTCTGTCTTCAAAGTCTATTTTTGGTATTCCCCAGGGATTTCATTACTTTGCTCCCCTCACTGCTCTGTTGCATGCCCTTAGTGTTTTGCCATAGTGTGCTGGGGTCAGATTGTGCACAGTTCCCATACTGTGTCTCCAGTATTGTCCCCCACAGTGCTATGGTTTAGTGACGGACATTGTGTCTCGTGGTGGGGTCCACTCTATGGTCCTCTCTGTGTGTTGTCTGCTCTGAGCAGGAACATCGTCCTCCGGGCTTGGTGGGCCAGGATGTGCTCCCCTCCCTCTCCATCCCTTTTCGTTTCTCCATGTGCTCTAATCAGACGCGCCCCTCTGCCCAAGCTGCAGCCCCAGTGCTGTCCTCTGAAGTGCATTCTTTTCAGTGGGGGAGGGGGTGTCTACATAGTTGTGATTGGGGCGGCCCTGTAGACCTCTCTATTGGTTCCCTGGTACATGCTGGTATGTTGTATTCACATCTTGTCACATCAGGTTGAAGCCTGGTCTCTCTCTCCCTCTCCTGTGGAGATATAAACAATACCCTCCCCTTGGGTGGGTTAGGGCCCTGCTCCCCAACCTACCCAAGGCTTATTTTCCCCCCCTTTCTGTTTCCCCCTCTTATTAGTTGGCTGCCATATGTATCCCTGGATTGGTTTTGGCCCCTGTCATAGTTGCTGGACATATGTAGCTTTCATGAAGATCTTTTGAGTAAATAAGAGTGAAATTCTGAATCATGTAGAACTGCCGATTTCTTAGAACTTTAAGGAACTGCCATATTTTTCTAAAGTGGTGCTATCATTTTGCCTTGTTACCACTTTTGTATAAGAGTTTCAGGTATTCTGTGTCCTTCCTTAATATTACAGATATTGTCAGTTTTTCATTGCATCTATTCTGGAAGATGTACAGTGGCTTCCTGTGGTTTAAATATGCATCTTCCTAATGAGCAATAACAATGAACATATTTTCATATACTTATTATTGTCTGCTTCAGTGAACTGTGTGCTCAAATTGTTTGCCTATTTTTTAACTAATTTATATGTCCTATTGTTGAGTTGTAAAGCTTTATCAGATGTTTGCAACAATTAACTTATTAGATATACATATTTTCTCCTAGTCTATAACTGCCTATTCAGTTTTATAGCAGTGTCTTGATGAGAAGACTTAAAAAAAATTTTGGAACATCTAGTTGATAAATTTATTTTATGGTTCCTGTGTGAATCTTACTCTAATTTGAAGTCATTAATATTTACTCCTGTGTTTTTCTTTGTTAAATATTAGAATGTTAGCTGTTATTGATGGATATCTGAATTTTTGTGTATGGCATCAAATGAACTCTAATACCACTTGTTGAAAATTGATTCATTCTGTGGTGTGTGTGTGTGTGTGTGTGTGTGTGTTTGGACTCAATCTTCTCCATTGGTCCTATTTTTCATCTTTATTTCCCCATACTACCTTGATTAACTTTATACTAAGTTTTGAAATCAGGTAGTATAAGAAACCTACTAAAAAGCTACTGTATACCAGATCAAATGCAGGGATGCACATGGTAGACAACTGGGGAGGAGGTGGGGAAGGGGAAAAATGATGAAAATAAGGAAGAAATGGGTAG